AAACCCGCGAACGACCCCATTCCACTCCGACCACAGCAACCCCAGCAACGATGATCCCGAGATGCCTGTCTATTGACTACTCTTATGGCCCAGGCTGCTCCGCGTTCACTTACGGCCAGCTTCCACGTGACGGCTCGCCGCAAAACGATAGCACAAGTGCAATATACCAGACAAACTCCTTAAGTTAACGCCTCCTGCCTCTGCCTCTTCTGACCGCTCCTACAGACACCTTCCGTTCTGTCCTCCCAGCAGCGCAGAATACAGATCAGAGAGGACACCCACCTCTCCACCCCCGGCTCCCCTCTTCTAACCATGTACCTGACACCCACACACTCCCAGGCCAGCGCCGTCTTCTTCCACGTCTCATCCTCGTTGAACCACCGCAACCACCACCAGAACCTATCAAGGGACTCACGCATAGGCTACTTACACAGCAGCTCTTCCCCTGAACGATACCCTTCTACAAACCTCCCACCTCTCTCATTCCCAGCCACACTACTTGCAACTACCCTCAACCTTAGCTATAGCGACCAACAATATCCCCCACTCCGATCATGTACCCTGCGACCCCGCACCTTTATCTGTGGCTTGTTAGCTCCCGACCCTCGCCCTCCACAACCTCATACAGTACTCGAGCTCACCCCACACGCACCAATAAACCGGCTTCTCACCTCTCTCTTCAAACACCACACACAAACCAATCTCCTCACTCACCCCACCACCTGTCCCTCCCTGTAGCGCACTAATTAAAAGATTATTATCAATCCAATAATAACTATTCACGGGTTCATAATATTAATCCATCCATTTATTATCATCATATTATGATTATGTTATTAAACCGACTTGTTATTCTCTTCCTGAATATAATAATCATCATGCTGTCTTTCAACACAGTGAATTAAATCAATTTAATGTTCCTTAGATCCTAGAACTCGAATCCTGTGTCCACTGACGCCATCGAAACAGGGACTCCGTGCCAATCAAATCAGTCGCCTGGTTACCCGTAACGAGCGACGGCGTCAATAGGGCAGCCTTCCCAGCTTGTGAGTCACCATGGGAACCAGATATCATACCGCTCACACACACAGGGTCTCACATTGGGATAATCAGCAGGGAGTACCCTTTAGTGCGATATGGGAACATGAAGCCCACGTCTAGATGAAAACCACAACCCAACAGAAAAACCACCACTAGTCACAGCTGAGCCAGTATCTCACATCCCCATACAGGACAGATCCAACAGAAGCAGCACACAAACACGAAAGATTCACACAGAACGAGGACCAGGCCCACTAGCAACGGGTCCACAGAGAACGCAGACCCCAATACAGAACAGGATCAACACAGAACCAGACACCCCTTCAAACACTAAAATATTATCCGATGTTATACCTCGTTCTGATTTGCTCTTATCCTCGCTTGTACGGCTCTGCAGGTTTTATGTTTTACAGGTTTGTTTATGGATTAGTACTGCTTCCCCGCCCATATGGGTCTTCAGGGTGGTTCACTATATGGGTTTCCGAGCGGCGTGGTGCGGGACTATGTTACTACGTGTCTTACTTGTTCGCTAACTGTTCTACGTCTTGTTTTGGTCTTACCTGTGTTTGATATCGTTCTCATTCTATTTACTGCTGTTACTTGTTACTCATGCAACTTTGTTTTCAGATGCTTATCATCGTTTATCGTTGTTTAGTGGTGTTTACTATGTTGCGTGTTCCTCATTCCTGTTTCATATCTGTACCTACCTAGTGTATTGCGTCGCCACTTCCCCATGTCCGCCCAAACATCACAAGCTTGCTCTGCTTTCGCTACCCCCTTGGAGACCCGCCCTGCTCCTCAAATCCTCTGCGCCCCCCTCTCCGCTCTGCGACACCTCTCCTGGTTGGTCTGCTCCTCTGCTCGCTCATGCCAGTCTCTCGTCAGAGCGAGCAGTATCATATCCATCGCGGGTGGAACTCCGCCCCCGCTATCACTCGTCTGCGTACCGTAGAGAGACCCGACGAGACGCACGAAGGAGGACCGCAGAGACGAGAGACACGAGCACGGACGAGACGCCGCGAGCGACGAGCGACCGAGCCGAGCCGAGCGCGGCCGGAAGGAGAGAGGCAGACAGAGAGACAGACGAGAGACAGAGACAGAGACAGAGAGAGAGAGAGAAGACAGACAAGAGAGAGAAGAGAGAGCACAGAGAGAGAGCCCAGAGAGACGAAGAGACAGCAAGAGAGACAGACGAGAGACAGACAGAGAGAAGGAGACAGAGAGAGAAGAAGAGCAGACAAGGACGGAGCAGGAACAGAGAGAGCGAGCACAATGGCTCACTCAACGCAGGCTGTTAACCCCCCGGCGACGCGGAGCCACCCCGTCGACGGTGAGAACCCCTCACCCGCCCGCGACCACTTAAGAGTGGCTCTCTCCCCGCCACCACCACAACATTCTATACCTTGCCTACTCCTCTAGCTACCAAACCCGTCATCCACACTTAGCGAGCCATCGCGCCCCTAGCAGCGTTACCGTACCAACTTTCAATTCACTTTCCATTTAACTTTTATCTTGTATAGCCGCCCGCTCCAACTTCATAACAGAGCTTAGATTCGCCAGCGACCCTTTTCAATAGCAGCAGGGTCTAGAGCCTCGGCAACCTCCTTTTACCACATTTAAGAGCCAAGAAGCAGAGAGACCCAGCGGAGAACCACCACACGAGAGCCCAGCACACCCCCAGCCGCCAAGATCGTACACCCAGCGAGCAGAGAGTCCTTTGCACTGGCTGAACGGTTAACTCTTTATCTGCGCTCGATCTCGCTCCCAGACCTTTCACAACCTGAAGACTCAGTTCTGCGACCCTTCCTGGCGCGCCCAGGTAGCGCGACAGTGACTTCCACATGCGACAGCCAGACAGACAACACACAGAAGACATATCTCATATACTTATAGATTATTAACATTAATAATAAGGACTAAAGGCATTAAATATAATAATAACCCCTGAAGGCTGCGGGCAGCAAAGTCGTCTGGTCTGCGCTCGGTACAGAAGGGCCTGAGTGGGCCCCCGGCCCCCAAAACCTCCAGCCGAAACAGCATCAATGAAGAAGAACCACATAAGTCCTTCCAACTACACACCTCCTCCAGAACTGGACCAAAGAGTGCCTCAAGGATGTCCAGGAACAGCAAGGTAACCACTGAAGAAGAAAAAGAGGACTGTCTGAAACGTGGACAGAAGAAGACAACAATAAAAGTAACTGTAGCTAACGTTAGATTCTGCATGGTTAGCAAACTGCTAGTCATAGCACTCAGAGCGACGCAATAGCTCAAATTAACCCTAACCTGCTATATAAGCTAAATAAATGTAGTCATGTTACGCAGTCACCATCTAGCATAATGTTAGCTCATGTTACCCCGCTCAAACGCTAGCTCCTAACCTTAGCTCACTCAGCTCACCCTTAGCTCAAAATGTTAGCTCAATGCTTATTGCTAACCTTAGTCAATGCTTACACCAATGTTCTCAATGCTAGCCAAATGTTAGCAACCAATCTTGCAAAACAAAAAATAACTCGCACACCCTCAACAAAACAAAACTATAGAATAAACAAGATTAAAGCTCAAATGATAAATCAACATTAGCGTCATGTACGCTCAAAAATACTAGAACTAAAGAATTAATAAATGAAATAAAGCAATAAAATATCAAAAACAATTACGTCAAACGGGTAGCTATGTTAGCTCCAACTCCTTAGTTCTCAACCGTTACGCCAAAAAATCAATGAAATAAGCTATAAAGATAGAAAAAATAAATCTTCAGCGTAAAATACATAAAAATAACGAATGGAAAAAATCAAAAATAAAAAGATAATCACTTTGTAAAGAATAGAATAAAATAAAAGAGCTATACAGTAAAAAAACCTTCATGTAGAAATATACATGGCGGTAAAAATAAATATGATTCTAATACAAAAAAAAAACATAATAAAACAAACATAAAAAAATCACGCTACAACTACCATCAGTTCCTTTCTCACCCCCGCCCCATACAAGTCTGCGGGTAGAGTCCTGAGGGGGGGGGGGGTTGGAGTAGGACGAAAGCACACAGTAACACACACACTCGTAGATTCGTATACTGATTGCTAACTAGAGGCATCCTGTGCCACGCCACGATGGGTCTTACTGACAGTAATTACCAATCTTGCCGTGTTACCACGAGCAAGTATTCTGCGGGGGACACAGGGGACACTGCTCCCTGCCTTTTCTGAAAGAGGCCGTTTTATGGTCCACTCGCCAGTCTCTTACGTCCAAAGCAACAAGATGCCTTCACGCTAATAGGGACCCACCAGAGACACCTGTCACGAGCACACTAGGCCCACACGAAGCGGAAAAACGGACCGACTCGGCTGAACTGTCTCTCGCCCTTAGTCAGTCCTTACGACATAACATAATATAGTACTGTGACCTACTAGCAGTATAACTGCTTTCAGCCATACCCCGCGATACCAGTATGAGCTACCTCATGTGACCCTATCCATACTCTATACCACTCTAGATCGCCCACAAGCCTCGTCGATTGGCTCTGCCCGTATATTGTTGATTGAAAAGAATTTAGAGCAGAAACACATGCAATAAACGACTCGAATTACAATGTGATCTTATTATACATCCAAAACTCATGATGAAACTAGTGATGAACAAGTTTTATTTATCTTCATACCCCTATAATTCATAATTGATGAGATTGTTGGACCCCACATTCGTACTGTTATGGCTCTCGACATTAATATATTTGTGGAGGAAGGAACGCAGGCGAGGTGGAGAATAAGGACACAGGAGGAGAGGCTGGAGGAGGGGGAGCAGGAGAGGTGGGAGGAGATGGAGGAGGAGAGGCTGGAGGAGGGAGAGCAGGAGAGGTTGGAGGAGATGGAGGAGAAGAGGCAGTGTGTGTGAGAGTGTGTGTGTGAGTGTGTGTGAGTGTGTGTGTGGAAGTGAAACAGGAAGTGGAAGCAGCGTCTGACCTCGGCCGTTGTCCCGGATCTCCTGGACCACCGACTTGTAGTTGACGTTGTCGGCCTCGATGACGTGGTCGCGGATGGTGATGTTGCGTTTGAGGAGCAGCGTGTAGAGCCCCTCCACAGCGAAATAACATGGCCGGTCGTCGTTGGCGTCCTTGTTGTCGCTGAAGATGAGCATGGCGTGTTGTCGCCAGCCGAACGTCTCCTGGATCCTCTCGCCTAACTCGCCCAGCTTCTTGTGCGTGGGACCCGTGTTGGTGACCGCTGCATAGTGCTCGAAGCCGATGGCGCGTGCGCCGGCTGTCACCATGGGAACGTCCCAGTGGGTTGTGAAGCGGGCGACGGGCGAGGAGGAGTAGTCGCAGCCGGGGCCGATGAAGGCCCAGGGGTCGTGGGACAGCTTGAGGTCGACGGCGACCAGTGGCGCAATGGAGTCCGAGCAAAAGCCGTCGCGGTTCTCGGAGCTGCCGTAGACCAGCTGGAGCTTCAAGCCCGGGAGCAGCGAGGGGTCAGAGTTCACCTGCTGCACCGCCTGGTGGAGCGCCGGCGCCACGCGAGGCCACGCCCACGCATAGTCCGTATTAGTCAGAGGCAAGATGGCTGCCAGAGTCACCTCCTGAAGATCCTCATTGGCGTTGTCGGCAGAAAGAGAGGCCGATTGGACCAGGAGGAAGAGGAGGAAGAGGAGGAACAGTGAGGGGCGGGGCATGATGGCGAGCCTGTCAGACGAGCTGCAGGGAAAAACAAACACAGCTATTAATGATGGATTCTCTTCAGGAGCCGCTGGGATTTCTGGGAACTGAGCCAGCGTGTCCATGTGGGCTCCTTAAACTGTCAACTATTATCCCCACGGGGCCCCATGTGTGTCTGCGGGGCCACAATTCTGGAAGTTATTAACGTAACTGAACTCCAGGAGGAAATGAAGTGTGTGAATATCAATAGTGAATAAATAAATAATGATGGTGGAAGAAGTTTAAAATCACAATGTAGATTTACAACCTGCACATTCATCCTCAGTTACTTTCTGTAAAACTTCTGAACTTTATAAAGACATTTTATTCAGGTAACGCTGCGTTTCACCAACCGCCTGTCGATGGCGTCATATCCCCTTTGTGCCTGGGTCGCTTTGTGGTTGTCTGCCAGAGCTGTCATAGCATTGGCTGTTTATCCAGTTGAACCACAGTTTTAGCTCAGAAAGCTAATGTTAGAAAAACACTAACAAACTAGACTAAACTACATTAATAGTTGTTGTGTTGTTCCTAGTTACATTTGAAAGTAGCAAAATACTAATTAGCATTTAGCATTAAGCTGACTGCAATGACGCCAGTGGTGGTAAAGACAACAACTCCCATGATCCCACGCTGCCTCACCACCTCAGCAAACTTCTTATTTTCTTATTTTTGGATAAAAGTACAGAGACTTTATTATAAAAGATGTTATTATAAATATTATTATATTATTATTATATATTATAATATATTGTCATAGATATTGTAATAAATATTATTATATACATTATAATATATTATATATTATCATATATATTGTTATAGATATTATGATATACATTATTATAATATGATTATGTACATTATGATATCTATTATTATATATATTTTAGGAACATTATAAAAACTATATTCAGTCCCTCCAGGAAGTTGCGATCACAGCAATTAACACAAATTCAACCAAACTGTGAATCCAGTTTTATTTTCACTGGAACTTAAATTCTAACAACAGCAATAATAATCATAATTTATATGATTGTTTATCATAATATTTGTTCTTTATGATCTGATCTCATTTATATATATTTATATATAA